GTGTCGCCAAACCCAAATGAGGGTTGGCTAGTGACAAAGAAAACAGCATTATCCTTCCAATGCTGTTTAATAATCTACACGATAAAACACTTGTTATTGGCACTGAACAAATAGGAGATAGGGAACAACCCAGACATGTCATCAAGAGAAGCTCCATCAGTCTCAGGCCTGCTTATCCACTCCCCAGGCAGAGGAGATAAGATCCTGGAGCTGTGTCAGGCAACGGAGGGAACAGGATCCTGAAACTGTTCCACAGAGGGGCAAGTTAAAAAGCAATGCTGAACTGCAAGGAAAAGAAGATGAAAAGCGAAAAGGAGAAGCACTGAACAGAGTCATCTGACTGCAAAGAGGCAGCCTGCCCCCTTTCTCTAAACTCCTGGTGTTGCAATGAGCATCCACTAGGATGCAGATATGTGGCAGCAAATTCCCAGTTAGGTTCCCTTCTGGAGTCAGCTTCACAGATTGCTTGAAGTCTCGCCTGGTTCCGGCCTACAGCAATGTTAGCACAGTATCACCATGGCCTTTCGTGGGCTCTCTGGTTCTGCTGGTTGTTTTATTTGGACTCTTGTCGGTAATTTCCCATTCCAGATGGGATTCCCAGCACATTTATCACTGTCACCATGTCACAATAGCCAAACCTCCCCTCTCTCTTTTCCCTACATAGAAGCTTTTAGGCAGCTCTCTCTCTCTCTTTCTAGAAATGTCAAGTTTCAAGTTTACTGCTGGCTTTCAGAGTCCTCTGGCCTCTGTCAGGGCTATTAGCAGAAGTTTCCTGTTGGAATTCACAGAACTCAGCCCTTTCCCAGGCCAAGCACTGCCTGCCTACATTAGCTTACTGGTGCTGCACTGGGGAGCCCAGGGCAAAAATGTGCAGACATCAATATATTAAACAACTGGCAAGACGAGGGGGTCACAATATGTCAGAACCCAAGCATGCGGCAAAGAAGAGATGTCTGAGCCTGTTTTCTTCTTCAGAAATTAATTCACCACTAGTGAAAGATGCTGGCCCAACAACCCCAGAGATTGATGGCCACAGAACAGGTATAACATGGGTCAGAGCAATGCAAGCCTCCCTCACCAATATTCCTCAGCCCAGCAATGGGGTCTAAACAGGAGTTCATTCTCCAAGATCCTTTGAGTCTCTCCACTGAGAGCCAGCAGGGGGTCAGACTGGGACAGATGGGCAATAGTGATACCAGGGTGAAAGGCTTTATATGCCATTGCTGATACCTGAGCCAGCCAGTCCCCCAGCCTTTATGATTCACGAGGGTTTAGTAACAACACTAGTACATCGAATCTCAAAGAGGAGAAGAGCTTCCCTGAAATCTGCAAAGTGCTTTGGCCACAGTTATAGACTTCAGCATGTCCCTGGCAGGTAGATCTCCACAGACCCTCTTTCGTATGCCCATGGGACTGAGGGTTGCACACTGCCTCACAGAGCCTTCGACATGTAACCCGTCACTCATCAGGGTGCAGAAAACCCCCCAATGGTCAAACCTAATCCACTAGAACAGAGACAATCCTGCTGTAACACATTCAATGGCAAACCCTTGGCTCCCTTCCATGGCACAGCCGAGTTGGAGAGCTCTGCTCCTGGCAGTGGCTTCCTGGGATTCATCTAAACTCCTGTTACATAAACATTGGGAGCATGTTTATGAGAAAGGATTAAATTAGACACACCGCCGTTTCCATGCTTGAGAATGGGGGCTGTCTCCATCTAGACTCCAGTGTTGGGGTCACAATTGCTGCAGATGACCCACTTAGTTTGAATCCTAGTCAGTCCTGCTGGCATCTCACTTCTAAGGGCTTGTCTACACTTACAGCACTGCAGCAGTGCTGCTTAGTGAAGACACTGACTATGCCAATGGGAGAGCATCTCCCGACGGGGTAGGTACTCCACCACCCTGAGAGGCAGTAGCTATGTTGACAAGAGAAGCACTGTCTACACCGGGGGGGTTGGTCGGTATAACTACGTCACACAGGGGTGTGGATTTTCCATCAGGGCTTAGACTGTGAATCACCCACGGTCCTGAAACAGGGGCTCCAGAAAATGTTCTTTAGTCATGCTCTGGACCCCACATGGTTCTAAGCTGGCACTCAGCTACCCGCCTCGCCTCCCTCATTAAGGGACTTTATACCATAGGGTGTCCCTCATTCCAGGCATGGCTGGTGGGATCTCATGGAGAGAAGGAGGCAAGTGTGTTTTGTCTGGAGCTATTTAGGATGATTTCCTATTTCATAGCGTAGATTTATGTTACCAGCAACAAAATGACTCCTCTTTGCCTTTCTGAATTAGGAGCACAGTCCTGCTATTGCTTCTTACTTAAAGGGGCAGGGCTCTGATTCTCACTGGCAATCCAGCTCATAGTCCACTCAGAGTAGCTACTAGACCATCTGTGCCCATGGGAAACAAGACAGACTTGGGGCCTCTTACCCAGCCCTCCATCCCTTCTCTCTCTGGCCTCCCCTGTAATTTGCTTGCTCATCTATGTCACTAAACTTGTTTTCTCTTCTGCCATGTGGTGGCACTGCTGTTAAAACGCTGTCAACACAGCAAATAAACAGCAGCACCTGCTGTGCTAAGACCAGCAGTCGGCAGGTCTGGGGCCACAGGTGCGGGCTCCTCACCCCTATTACTGAGCAGGAACGACAGGAACAGCCAATGTTTGGGGCAGGGGCCTAGTCTGAGAGGGTGGAAAATGGTCTATTGCTCCAGGACTGCCACCTGGCCGGCATCGGTATCACTCTGGCTGTCCTGCTGCAGGGGAGGGAGAGGGACCAAAACGCTGCCTATCCAAGGGTCACATCACAGGAGCCCCAGGGCCATCCCGAATTTGCATAAATGGAGCCAATGGTGTAAGCCTTCATCACTGACACACAGGCGCAGCCTGCAGCGGTTCCAGGTCCCAGCAGCTGTCCAGCCCATTCTGAACGCTGGTCTCTCCACAGGCTGCAGCATGCTGGGCTCAGTCCTGGTCTGGGTGGAGAAGGGCCTCTAATTACAGCAGCTGTCATAGAGCTCTCCTCAATGACTCCACCTCCTGTCAAGGTAACCTGAGGGGGACACCAGGCAAGAACAAACTCTCGCTGCCCCAGCCCACCACACTATGTTAACCAGTGCAGCACAACGTCCCTGGGCACCCAGGAAAACCAAAGGAGACGCTCACAGAGTCCCAGTGAGATTCGGAGCCTTTCCCTTGTGCCAGGGTCTGGTGTTTGCATGTTCATGGGAGACGCAGGATCACAGATCTCCTGCAGCACAGCTCAGATCCAAGCTTTGTGCGGCTCCAGCTCACACACAGCCCAGGCACTTGCTCTAGACTGCGACACACCGAACTATGTACACATCTAGATGATCCAGGCATCGGGCTCTCCTACCCAGCAGACCAGAGCCCGAACCCCTAAGGCATGCCAGCCTGGGGAAACGAACCCAGGATCCCAACGGCGGTGCAAAGAGACCTGGCCAGCAGTGGCACGGGTCTGAGCTCCTGAAGGAGGCTTGACCTGAGTATCAAAGTGGGGTCTCCTGCCTGGCAGCACAGAGCACTATACACTAAGTCACTGATGATGTAGCTCATTGGAAAGCCAAGATCCAGCACTCCAGGGCCTCACTGGAACCATGTCCCCCTCCTGCATGGGAGGAACTCCCTATAAACATCTGCTAAGCCACTTCCTGGTCCTCCTTCAAACCCCTCCTTGACATTTCCTCAGCTGTGATACCTACGACACACGCAACAGCCAGGCAGCTGGGGAACTCCAATTGCAGCTTCTCGGGCCGATCAGCAGCATCTCACTCTTTCCTTGGGCTCCTTGTCTCTGCCTTACCTGTAGACTGTAAGCTTTCTGGGGCAGGGACTGTTACGTGTTTGTGCAGCGCCCAGCACAGCAGGGCCTGGCCTCCAGGAGCTACCGCAATACAAAACAATCAGAGCCTGTGTTACAAACCCGGCTAAAGGCCCTATACGAGCGGGTCCGCCTGTGTCTGTAAAAGCCCGTTACACCTCAGAGCCAGACCGAGGCGCCGCTAAGGAAAAGATGTTTCCCATGGAGAGCGCATGGGGTGGCCAGTCCTTTCCTCCCCCTCGAAAGGTGTTACTGACCTTGAGCACCTCTGAAGATCCCTCGCTTGGGCGTGAGCTTTGCCAAGGGGCATGGGGTGCAGAAAGAGAACCTGCCATTTCCAAACTCCTGCTGCTCCCTCTGGCAGGCCAATGTTCTGCAGTGCCCTGAGCAGCTTCACCCGCGCACCAAGCATGGGGACAAGGCCCAGGGGTGAGAACATGCGGTAGGATAAAGTCCTATGTCTGCCCAGCACATTCCACAGAGGAGAGCCCTCCCCCCGCAGCCTAGGGATGTTTTTCCCTCTCTTTAGATGCACTGAGCTTGTCCTGCCTCTGCACAGGGTTAGCGCTCTCCATGCAGCCCCACAGGGGAGGGCCAAGCCCCAGTGTGTGTGTGGGGTGGGAGGGAGACAGCATTTCACTTTGGCTTTGGTTAACTAAGCCCTGGATGGTTTTTTGACTCCCCATGTCTGTTCTCACATCACATGAGGAGTTGAAACCTCTGTGTCTCTGGGAAGGAAAGACTGGGCTCAGGCAGCCCAGCGGGGCTAGCCCCAGACAGGCCCAAAAATGCTCTCAGGGCTACTCAGGAAGGACAGAGCATTTCCTGACCTTCCCTTTTTTGTTAATATAAAATGTAAAGGAACAAATTGACCCTGAGCCCTCCTTTGGGAAAGAGACAGGAGATGCCTGGGCAGCTAAGACCAATGAGAGTGAACAGGGTGCCATGCCCTGGGAGTCTGGGAACAAAGCGGCTAGGCCAGGCTTCCTGGTACAGCCAGGCCAGGCAGGAGTTGGGGGCACAGCCAAGCCAAGCCAAGCCAGGCACAGATGGGGGAGCGGGTACAGCCAGGCCAGGCAGGAAGCACAGCCAGGCCAAGCCAGGCCAGAAGGGAGGGGGGGTAGGTACAGCCAGGCCATGGTATCAGCCATACTCACTCAGGCACTGCAGACCATTTTTATTCACCAGAGGTTTGGCGCACAGTGAACAGCTGGTGAAGCTGGAGAAAGTCCCTGGCGCCAGCTGGTGCCCATTGACCCTTTTCCACTTTTGGCTCTTTTCTCTCTCTTTTTGTTGGTCTTTGTTCTTACCCTAGAAGGGGGAAAGCAGTGTCATGGCACAGAGTAGCAGGAGTTCGCTATGGGTGCGTGCGCACACACACAGAGCTGACCCCCCCCACACACACACACAGAGCTGACCCCCCACACACACACACACAGAGCTGACCCCTCAGCGGGACGTTGGGCTCATTAGTGCTAGTTCAATTGTGGGGTTAGTGCCTGGTCCGAATGTGTTCCCCAGGGACTGAGACAGCCCCAGAACCTCTGCAGCCCCACTAGGGTGGGTGCTCATGTGACTCAGGGCAGGATGCAGCCTGTGTGCAGCAAAACATCTGTACCACACCCTAGAATATAAACTCACAGCTGCTCCCTGCCCGGGGGGTGTTGCCTGGGGATGGGCTGTGCTCCGGGCGGGGTCCATGCACTGGAAAGAGGACAGCTTCCCCAGGGCAGCCCAGCAGCCAGCCCTGCCAGACCCCTCCTCACCCTTGCCCCACACAGGAGGCCGTGCTGTCACCCGGAGGAAACATCCTCCCTGATTGGAACTCCCCGCACATTGGGCAGCCGGGACAAGTCCTGAGCAAAGCCGGCCCAGGGAGCGACACTCCTAGCAGGTGATACTAGGGACAGGGCTGCTGTCGTGTCCCAAAGCAGCCCTGCTGGACCCTACCCTAGAGCCAGGGGAGCTTACATCCTGTCTGGTGACAGTGCTGCAAGCCCCTCATGGGTTCCGGTTTTCTCCCTCACCTTATCCTTCTGCCAGGACCCGGTGACGCGGTTCCGCAGGGAACTCAGCCGGCGCTTCACCTTGGTGCCTCTCTCAATCTTGTCACTCTTCCCATTGTCCTCAGCCCTGAAACAAGCCAGGAAACCGGTCTCATCCAAAGGGAAGGCAAGGGGGGCGGGAAGTGCCAGGGAAGCCCCGGGGACAGGTATGTGCCCCACGCACAACGCCCCCAGGAGAGCCTCCCGATGGAGCTCGCTGTCAGGCCCCCCCAACATTGAGTTCCCCAAATCTCATGAGCATCAGGTTCTGTGCGAGTCGCCTCCCACATCTGCAGCCTTGTGGTGAAGGTGCTGAGCTCTCCAGGGACCTGGGTTCAAGTCCCAGCTTAGCCACTGACTTCCTGCATGTCCTTGGGAAAGTCACTTCCCCTCCGTGACGCAGCACCTGTCTACAAGAGGAGGAGAGTAACCCTGCCGCCTATTTGGACAGTAAGCTCCTTGGGGCAGGGGCTGCATCTGTGCAGCACCCAACACAATGGGGCCCTGATCCTGCCTGGGACAGCTGGCTGGGATGCCTGGATAGGTGGGGAGCTGGGATGGGGACATGGGGCACGCTTGCCAACAGCTCACTTACTCATTAGTCAGGAACTCAAACCAGGTGAGGTTCTGCTGGGATTCGTTGCTGCCCTCGGCTGTGCAGGCCCTTTGCTTCGCCCTGCGCAGGGGAACAGGACAAGGCATCAGACTGGGAGGAAGAGTAAACTGCCCCAGAGCTTCTGAAGGGAGCAAGTTTTGCCTGTCCAGGGGGACCCCAGCAGGCGCTGCCCACCCTGTGGGGGGGTTGGTGTGGGGCAGTTCCCGTGTGGGTGCCTGGCAAGCCCTGCACACCTGTTCCCAGGGTGGTGTTGGGGCCCATGTACACTGTGGATGTCAGCTCCCAGGAAGGTCTTGGGGGGATCCTGGTGGGCCTTGTGCACTCTGGGGGGTTGTTGCATGGGAGCTGTCCCATGGGAGCTGTCCCAGGAGGCACTGGGTGGTAGGACAGCCCATGAGACTAGTCCAGCCCCCAGGTGACAGGTCCCCTCTCCCAGCCCCACACTCACCCATGAAACTGTTTCAGCTCCTGCAGCACCTGCTGGACGATCAGCCTGCCAGGGAGGAGAAAAGGGGTTAGGAAGTCTCCCCACTGGCCGCTGCTCCAAACTCCCACGCAGGCCAGCCCAGGGCAAGATTCATGCCTGGGGGTAGCAAGAGCCCTCGTACCCTGGTGACTAGGAAGGAGCAGCTGGTGGAGGGCAGGGCTGCCCAGAGGGGGGGGCAAGTGGGGCAATTTGCCCCAAGCCCCTGGCCCCAGAGGGGCCCCCACGAGAATATAGTATTCTATAGTATTGCAACTTTTTTTTATGGAAGGGGCCCCCGAAATTGCTTTGCCCCAGGCCCCCTGAATACTCTGGGTAGCCCTGGTGGAGGGAGCATGCCAGGTACAGAGACCCACCTGCAGGGCCACACTGTGCCTCTCCCAGCATGAAACACCAGCTGTTTGGCTGACAATCTCAGTGAGCCCAGGGCGCATCCCAGAGCATCCCCTGGGACCGAGGCGCGTCCCAGAGCAGGCACTGCCACGGCTCATGGCACTGCCGTTTCTTGCTCTCTTACAGTTAGAGGCTGAATCTGGATCCCCAGCAACTCAGAAGAACTTAGAGAATCACTGACACCTACACATGGTCTGGGGCCACATGGTCCTTTTCAATCGTCTCCAGCGCAGGCGGTTCAAGACCTGGAACCCAGGGAGAACATGGTCAGTGGGGATGCCAGTTCCCTGGCTGTCCCTTGGCAGAGTGTTACATTTCAAGCTAGGTACAATTAATCCTGGGCCTGCTGGGCTCCCACTCTCCCTTTAATGGGGAAGGAGGGTCGCTGTGGAGTCTGCCTTGGTTTCCCAACCTGTCCCTTCTTAGCTCCGTTCTCTGCTCTGCCTCCTTCACATTCTCCTTGAAATCGGAGGGCAAGAGCTCAGTTCATCACATATGTGCCAAGCTACTTGACCTCCTGCACTACTTCTCCAATACATCCTCTTTCTGCTCCCTCCCCGTCTCTTCCCAGCTGAGGGCCGGAGGTACACGCAGATTGCTTGATGGCAGCCTGGTGGGCTCATTAATGGAGGTTTCAGCAGCAGGCTCCCTGGGTGTGGACAGAACAGAGCTCCTGCGAGCTGGGAAGGCTTTGGAGGTGACAGGCCATGGTCAAATCCTGGTGTTCTCGTGGGTTCCTCCTGCTCGCGAACGAGTTTTGTCTCGTCACCCTGCTCTGAAGCAAGGGGTTTCTGAATGGGCAGGAATCAAGGGCAAGGGGCTCTTTCTGGGCAGGGATTGTGTGTCAGCAGCTTTTCCTGGGGAACTTCACAAAGGGACCATAAACCCCAATAGGACACCCAGCAAGGCGATGGTCAGTTCTCTCTCTAGCCTGCCTCTGCTTTCCTAAAGCCCGTCCAATCCAGGAATGAGAATCTCTGCGATTCTGCTCTAACGGCTGTGCCCTGCCTTGGTTTATCCCATCCCAGGCAGGCTCAGTACTTGCTGGCTGCACTTCACGGGCCGTTCTGGAAGCTCGGTTACCAGGGGAAGCCTGCACTGTGCCCCGCAGGCGGGACTGAGGCTCATGTACAGACTGTGTTGTTGGGATGCGGCTTTCTGTCCATAGGACACTGCTTGTTGTTGTGTGCAACCAGGGATCCGACACCGCACCCAGCCACGGACACGTTCTGTGGCAGTGTGTCATTGGAGACAGCTATGACATCACATACCATGGTAACGGGGGCATAGAAATCCCTTAGATCAGACTCAGGGTACGTCTACACTGCACCCGGGGCTGGAATTTCTGGCTTGGGAAGACATAATCACACTAGCTCTGACTCAGCTAGCATGCAACAAACATTGTCACTGAAGCTAAACGGGGAGCGTCATGGGCTAGCTGCCCGAGTCCATACCCAGGGCTGCCCAGACTTCAGCATTCTCCACAGGGTCTCCTGCTAGCACACATTCCTAAGACTACGTCTGTACAATTAACCTATTTCATGCCAGGCATTTACTCACCTTTGGCAACTGGAAGCAACACCTCCAGGTTGTGAGAGATTCGAGGAGAGGAAACCTTGTCACAGGCGGAAGGAACAGACTTTGACCTCAGTCTCTTCCCATTGCTGCCATATTCCTGGAAAAGACAAGAATCAGCAACGCTTCAGGGGCACGTGGTTCACACTGGTCCTGAGCACCTGCAGGGCTCTGCTGATGACCCCACCCCACCGTCTTGGTGGAAGTCACAGCCAGATAGTTACCACACAGCACAATTCAGGGCCTCCCTTCAAAACCGATTACACTGGAAACAAACCCCGGGAATAGGCTGACATCCCGTGCCACCCTTTGGTATTTAACCAGAGTTATGATCACAGCACATGCTGGAAAAGCCATCTATTTACTAGAGTTTCTAGGGAGGGCTGAGGGTCTGGGCTTTAGGATGGCGTGGAAGAAGGATATGCTGCTGTGATATCTGCTGTCTACCGGCTGGTTCCATGCTAGGGTGCCTAGAACTTTTGTACAGGTGTCCTTTTTACATATAGTGAATAGAAAGAAACAAAGATATTGGGTGGAGCTGCTAATCAGGAGACCTGGGCTCTGTTCCTAACTGGCTTGGACTCTCAGTGACCCCTGCATCAGGTTCCCCATCTAGAAGATGGGGGAGATGTCCCTCCTCTCCGGGGCTCTGATGGGGTCTGAGAGCCTCACGGCACAGAAGCTGCCAAGTGACCCACGTTTTTATTACGCAGGAACATGTGTCCGTGACCCCTTGGGGCCCAGGGGCTGGAGCGGTTTGTCCCAGAGCAGAGCAAGGACACAGTCGAGGATTCACAGGTGCCAAGGTCCCTGGGGGTAGTGCTGTCAGGAACAGAGCCTGGAGAGACGGGGCACAGGTTGAGCCTGCGTGTCCTGCAGTCCAGCATCTCCCCCTCCCCACAGTGTGCCACGGGCACGGCTTTCATGCCCACTCACTGTGTCCTCGTGATCGGGCACGATGGCGAAGTTCAGATGCAGGGGTTCTATCTCCACTTTTATCAGAGTGCTGCCACTGCCTCCCCAGGCCTCCTCCCCAGCCGTGGGCAGCTCCAGGGACACACAGGAAGCCAGGCAGGGCAGGCTCCTTTCGAGCTCTTCTTGCTCCAGGTCACTGGCGATCTCTGAGGCATCCAGGCTTAGCCTAGTTCAGGGAACAGAAACCAGCTTAGACCATGGGAAGGCAGCAAGGGGGTCAACAGAGGACACCGGTCCGTGCCCTCCTCTACAGCCACCTGTCCAAGGGCCTCATCCCCAGGGACAGACAGGAAATCCAGGCCCAATTCTGCACCAGACACGTCTGTTCCACAAAGGCTGTTGGCCCTCAGTGAGGGCCCAAGCCAGTGATTCATGCCGTTAGTCTGTGGATGGTGGGCAGAGGCTGGCCAAACAAAGCCACACCTGCGTCCCCATTCTAGGGCAGCCAGCTGAGGACAAGAAAGACCTGTTACAGGCACAAACTACTTTGGACAGCAGCCTGGGGGTGACAGATAGGGCAATTTCCTGCCATAGCCTGGAAAAAACGTATTTGTGAAGGTATAAGGGACACAATTCCTTTGGGGTCCGAGGCCTGCAGCTGGCTGCCTGCAAGTCCTGCCTGCTGCACCTGAGAGGCCAGCAGAAACTTAATTAGCTGATCTTTATAAGAGAGGGAGAGACTCCAGAAAGCTGAGGGGCAGGGGCTGTCCCCCTAACGGACTGCTGCTGGAGCCATTGCAGAACGGAATTGCTCCAGAAACCAAATGGGCAGAATGGAGACTGTGGGAAGTCCTGGATTATTGAGGCTCTGAGGTCAGAGCCAGGAATTTTGAGTTGCTGAAGGTATTGGTGTGAGGGCCAGACGTGGGGAAGGGACCACTCCGCCTGCACAGACTTTGAGGGAAGAATCCGCGAGGTCTGATTTGTTTTGTTCAGAAGGGTTAAAATAAACAGCAAACCCAGCTAGAAACTGCTTCCCTGGGTTCTCTGAAGGGAGCTCAGACAGAATGACCCCAGACAGCAAGCTGGCTCTCCAAGAGCAAACCTGGCCTGGTACGTAGGAGGAGGGTGCTATAAGATAGGCCCCAACCCTTCGCAGCACTGAATTAAGTTTAAGTTATCTGTGGGGTAGAGTCCACTGTATTGAACGCTAAGTTTATGGATTATTGGGGAATTGGAAGCAACTTCTCTAAGGGGAGATGTGGCCGAAATAAACCCTGTGAAGTGCTGTGCGTCTCGAAGGTCTGTTCTAAACAACGGGCCAGACACGGAGGCTCTTTTGGGACAAAGTGAAGTGGGTTTGGGGAAATGCCTCAGGGTGTGTGTGGGGGGGTGAATGTAAATTCACACCACCAGACCCAGCTGTGCCTTGAGGACAGAACCACTGTCTGCTAATTACTACCTGGAATCTGAGGGGCTAAAGCCTGACCTGTAGAAAGCAGAGTGTGACCGATTCATGGTGGTTCTTGTTTTGAGCTAAAGCCGTTACTTGTAGACACATCAAACCCCTGGGGGTTTGAAGGACGTCCACCAGCCAGAGCCCTGGCTGGCATTAGGAATGATCTCTGGTGAGCTCATTAGCATGCTTGTGGGCTCGTTTCGTGTTTTTAATACGTTTTCTCTGTACTGCTTTCACCTTAGAACTAGACGGATGGAGAGAGGGCGGGTGGAGGACCAGGGTAGATGATGCAAGAGATAATAACGACGCTACAGCTGCACCTTCCAGGGTTCTGGTTACACTGTGTAACTCAGAGCAAAGCCGGAGTGATCTGTAGAGTCCCTACGATCAGAGGGTGATGATGATTTCTCTAGAGGCTCCAGCCCAACTTTACCAGCCACTGTACACCCCCACCCCCAAAATGATGGGGGAGCCCATGGTAAGCATGGATGGCATCTGTTATGCCCAGTCACAGTGCCCAGAGCTGTGCCCTCTGTGGTGCATTTGGTGCATCACTCTAGAATTTACAGATGAGCTTTTCTAATCATCAGCATGTCCATGACCTGGCCCTACCCCGCAGGGCAGACTGTGCCAGCAAACACTGCTGAGCCCTGCCCCGCCCCTGTGAGGTTCTGGAACAGACACGGACAGCTGCCCAGACAGCATGGCCTGACTCCATTTGAATGCTGTACTCCTGTTGGCTAAAACTCCATCGAGATCACATCGGGCTTTCCCTCTGAAAGCCTGATTTTGCAGGCAGGGAGCCACTGCCGTGAAGCTGCCCTGTAAACCCTGCCACCACCCACTTACAGTGGAGGCTGCTAAACAGGCAGGACAAAGAAATTCTCATTCGGGGCCATGGGCCAGGATAACTCTCCCGTGCCCCCCAAGGCCCTGGGGATCCCTAGCGTGCTGAGGGAAAGCACTGTCAGGATGCCAGCCACATAGGAGCGAAGTGATGAATAGAGACCAATGGAAAATCTGATGCTACCTTGTGGGACCTCGGTGCTGATCCTAGTCACTTGGCTCCTGCTAGCCAGACACATTCCCCTTCTCCACACATCGTAAATCACCCAGAAAGGGGACTGACCAAGGCCGTGGCTTGCTGCCGGCCGCCTGCGCACTAGCTCACAGGCTCCTGCCACAACTTAAGCCGTGAACGATACACAGCACATGGAACAACAATAGGTCTTAGGACCGAAGCCTGCGCCTGATAAAGAACTGCCAAGATCTCAGCCCAAGATAATTCCAGGGCACCTTATAAGGAGGAGGAGATAAAAATAGTCGTTGCTGGCTCACAGCTCCCTCCCTGCCGGCAGATAGATCAATATGTTCATCCCAAGGACACACAAGTTCACAGAAATCCTGCCCAGAGCCAGAGGCCTGTGTGTAACAGAGCACACGCGGAGGCGGCAGCTCCAGCCCTGGCTCAGCCTTACCCACAGAACATCCAGCCACAGGAACCCAGAGGAGGATGTGGCTTGCCAGGGAGGGCAGAGTCAGTGCTGGGATCACATGAGCAACTGGTTTGGCAGAGCTGCGCACCCAACACCTTCTCCTGCTGGCACGGCCGGAGCGGAGGGGGCAAGGATGGGCTGGTGCCATTCTCCAGGGCTCCCCCACTGGGGCAAAGGGATGCAGGCAGGGACCCCACTCACCCCAGGAGGGGAGATCCCCTTTCCAGCTCCTGGGCCTGCTGGGAAGGGCCTTCTTGCTGCTGCTGCCGCCCCTTGCCAAGCGGCTGATGGTGCAAAAGCCTCTCCCAGCCCCCCACACCCAGGCCTCCTGCAAGAGTTTACATCCCACACACCACAGGGAGTGGGAGGCTTCCAGGCCTCCCTTGGCAGAGGCTGACTAGGGAGGGGGACCACCCAGCAGCAGAGAGAGATCTGGGCTGCCTGCGCATTCCAGCCAAAGCACTGCACAGGCCTTTGCGGCTCTGGGTGGGCCGCGCCAGCCAGCCTCTTGCAGGGGGAGGAGCGGAGATGTCGGCAGGGAGCAGGCCCATTGGATGGGTGGCTCAGGGCAACCCGGGGAATTGGAGTCCTTTGCCTGAACGTTTATTGGGGTTGGGGTGTCCTGGGGCAGAACAGAGACGGCACAGTCACTGTCAAGCCAGCAGCTCCTCCCAGCCTGGTCCTGCCACCTCCAACTAGAGGGGAGCTTGGTCCCAGGGCCCAGTCTGGTGCCTGGGGTGAACAGCCACAAGCCAGCGCTCAGCTCTGGGGAGTTCCGGCTGGGGAAGGAAGCAGCGTCTCCCTCAGACACTGGGCTTACAGCAGCTATGCTGAAAAGCCTGCTCGGGACGTGGGCCCGCTTCAGACCCTTGGGTGCCGTATGTAGCCACAACATGAATAACCAAGGGGAAGACCCAGAACTACCCCCTTCCCAATCGCGGGAAGCCCAGAAGTGGGACACCAGCCCCACCCCCAGCCTAGGGGAGTTTTTTTGTCACACAGCAAATGCAGGTGCATCCCAGGCCGAGGAAGCGGCAGCCCCCCCTCACCTGCCGGGGGCTCGAACCCTGATTCCAGACGTCTGGAAAGCTGCCATTTCACCACATCCTCTCTCCCTCCTTCCCCCCACAGGCCCCACACAAGCTTGGCTGAGCCTGCCGTACCTGCGCCCGCTCTCTGTAGGGGACACGGGGCTTTCCCAGCTGTGCCTCCGTGAGGTGGACATGGATCTCATTAGCGCGGGGAAGGACTGCTCATCCTCCTGCAACTCCAGTCCTTTACCCTGCTCTGCCAGGCACCCCCCCACAGGGGGGCTGTCCTGGGGCCCTGCCCCACAGGAGCAAGCAGAGTCACTGTTCAGGAAATGGCAGCTGGCCTCCCTGGACTGCACTGAGCCGGAGATGGGATCGGGGCAGGCAATGCCCACAAGCGTTCGCCCCAAGCCTCTAGGCTTCTCTTCCGGTACAGGACAGCTGGGCGCCACCTGGCCTGTGTGTTCTGGCAGCATGGCCATTGCTGGAGTCACGCCGGCCTCTGGCAGGTTCGGCAGCCCCAGGTCTCTGTAATACTCTGTGCCGTGGAGAGCGAAGTCTATGGAGAGGAGATCCTCAGTGCTGCTGTGCACATCACCCATCAGGGCATCCGGCTCCGGAGACGACGAGTCTTCCTGCCAAGGGAGCAACAGCTTAATACCTTGGGACGAGACCAGGCAGAGCAGAGCAGAGCATGGCTGGGGCAGACCACGCTGCCCGGGCCTCAGAAAGGGGCACGCGCCCACTCCCACTAGCTTCCCTTTCACCTCTTGTGACAAACCAGGAGACAGCTGGGCCCGTCCAAAGGCAGCTAATCCCTCCCTCTGGGGCTTTGGAATATTAACACTTAACGTGTTATCCCTGACACCTCGGAAAGACACCAAGCTTCCAGCCCACCTTCCCCTGTGGGGGGAGATATCGCTGTCGCCGTGTACACAGGGGAAGAGGCGCAAAGGGCTGGAGTTAGGCTTTCCGATGATTATGGCTGATCACCTGGCTGGCTTTGAGGACTGAGACGTCTCAGATGTGTGAGATTTTGTGCTGCCGCCCGCGCCAAGAGCAGGGCTCTGGTACCTCTCTGCACTTTGCCTCAGAGCAGGCATTGCATGCCCAGAGCAGGGCAGTCGCTGGTCTCAACACTGGAGGGGGAAGAGCAGGGCACAAAGGGCTTCTCTGGTGGGTGAATTGTGCTGCCACCTTAGCACGGGAATGCCTCATGCTTCTGCCCTATGGCAGGTGACATTCCTGTGCCTGACTCCCACTAATGCCAAGGGAAGGGGAGTGTGTCATTGCCCCCTGAACAGGGGACGTGCATCTCCCAAGCCCTCCAGGCTCCCCAGTGGCCCTGCTCTCCAGTCTCATACCAGGGCAAATCCTCCAGGACATTCTACCCTTCTCTGCAGGAGACCGAATCGAAAGCCAGAGGGCGGGGGATACAAACACTGGCTGGGGACTGGGCTGACTAACCTCTGACCCCTTTCACTTGGATCCAGACCCAAAGCCAAGGGCTCAAGCGTCAGGTCTCTGCAAGTGAAGCCATTGGCTGAGCAGAGCATCCTGGGTGCAGCAAAATCTCACTCACTTTCCCCAGAGAAACAACTGTCCATCCACAGCACCCTGCGGAGAAGAGCGAGACTACCACCAGGTCAGAGGCGGCCCCAGGGACCCTGTGATTCCAGCGGGGGCTGTGGATGGGGGCGGAGGACAGGGAGGACACCGGATAAACCCCCC